GCTGAACACCCCCCCCCCCCTCCCCCTCCCTCCCCGCTTCTCTTTATTTTTTTCCACTCTCCACACGCAGCACTGTTTATCACTCGCTTCAAAACCCTTCATCCTTTTCTGTTAATCTCGTTAATTTTTCTGCTTACACTAAGGGAAGGGTGTTGATAATTACTTGCATTCGAGAGATTATGTTTCTAATTTCGTTGCTTTTATTGGATGTTTAGGTTTTGATATGTTGTGGTTGGATTGTTGCTTTGTCTTGGCAAGTTAATGATGACATTAGTTTGTTAATTGAGGAAAATATGAGCTTTAATTTTTTGATAATAGAGAAATGGAAAGTGATGATTTGTCATATTGTAATGATTTGGAAGTTAAGCTAGGGTTAGAGAAGGGTTTGCCACAGAAGTTGTTGAAACCTAGGGTTAATAAAGAGATGGAAAAAGAGGAGAAGAAATTCTTGGGGAAGAAAATTGAGGCTGGTATTGATTCTGATGATAATGAGCCTATTGGGTCTTTGTTCAGGTTGAAGAGACCTAGAAACCCTAAAAAAGCTAAGGCAGGTTTGGAGAAGGTTGAAGTTAGGGAAGCTAAGGATGAGGATCTGGGGGGGATGGATGATACACTTGCGAGTTTTAAGAAGAAGTTGAAAGGTCCTAAGAAGGATTTGGGATCTGTAAGTGCTAGTCATGATGATGGGTTGTTGGATGTGAATGTGGAGAAGAAAGAACAAAAATGCAAGGAGAGGGCGAGGAAAGTGAGGATTGATGGGAAGAGAGTGAGAAATGGGGGTGATGTTGTGGATGATGATGTTTTGGAGGGTTTGCGATCCCAGGTTGCTTTATTAGAGAATCAAGGAGAGGAAAGTTGGTTGCCTGGTGAGAGTTCAAATCGGCCTATGGATGGAAAGTTGGAAGATTCGATATCAGCCTTTTTTCAGAAGAAGCAATCGGGTTTGGCAAGGAAGTCTCGTGCAAATTCAAGTTTTAAACAAATTAACAGGGTTCAGTGTTTGGATGACAGGTTGAGCCCTGGATCTGGAGGTGTTTACGGGGGTTCAAAGGATGTGGCAGCGAGGACAATTGGATCAGGTTCTGTCTCAAGTGTGGTCTGCAAAGATCTGGAAGCTGAAAACAGTTTTCATACAGTTGCTGATTTGAGTTTGTTAGATTCTAGCTCTAGACAAATTTTGCATGAGAAAAACCAGAGGCTTGATAATGGGTTTTGTGAAACTTCCTATTTCACAAATGAGAACTCTGATAGAATTAAGGGGATCCCTGCAATGAAGGATGAAACTATGAAATCTGATGACAAGAGACATGGTAAATCTTCAGAAGTTACTGCAGAGGTTTCTGCACCTGTATCACCAGCATTTTCATCTCAGGATGGGGTGATGGAAGATGAACAAATGCAGGACCCTTGCATCTCAAATACTCAAGAGGAACCTATGGTGGAACCTTGCAGTCCAGATAGGATTTGGAATGAAAGTCATTCTGCTTCAGGACATAATGATAACTTGGAAACACAAACTTTAAAGAATGGGTTAAGGCTTTGTTCTGTGGGTAAAGCAAGCACCTTGGAGGCATTAGAACAACAATCTAAGGATGTTTCAGCTGCATGCATTTCAAATGCAGAACCTCAAATTTCGTTATCTCCAGACGGAAGAGAAATTTCAGCTTCCTCCAGCCCTAATAGTCAAAATGAACTGCAGGATCTTGATTCAGTTCCTAAAAAGGAAAATGTTGAAATATCTGATGGTAGGTTATCTCCTGTCACTGTAATATCCGGGGAGGTCCATAAATCTTTGCACACAAACCACAATGGGAACTCCTTAGATTATCTGTCCATCAATGAAGAGGCCAATGGGCTGTCTCCTCGATCTGTAACTCCTGAAGAAAATGAAAGTTATCTGGAAGATGCAGTGTTGGTGCCAGGTTCTGATATTAAAGATGGTCACTTAGCAGCTGTCCAGCGTGCTGTGCGGAAGGCCAAAAAACGCAGACTTGGTGACATGGCCTATGAAGGGGATGCTGATTGGGAGATTCTGATAAATGAGCAACAATTTCTGGAAAATGACCATGCTCTTGAAAGTGACCGATCTCTTAGAACCAGAGAGAAGTCTGATTCCTCTTCAAATAGTGTGGAGGCTGAAAATGGCGGGATTGCAGCAGTTTCAGCTGGATTGAAAGCCCGTGCAGCAGGTCCAGTTGAAAAGATAAAATTTAAGGAGGTCTTAAAGCGCAAAGGTGGGCTTCAAGAATATCTGGAGTGCAGGTTAGTTATTTAGTTTTGACATCAAGCTTTGCATTGCATGCATTACATTTCCGGTACAGATTTCTTTTTGTGTTTTCTTTCCTTTTCTTTTTTCCAGTTACAGTGTGGAGGAGCTGCTTTTGTTATTTTCGGTGTTAGCAAGTTGACAGAACACCTATGGTTCCCTTTTCATTTCAGTGGCATTGATTATTTCTATGTATGGTTTACGTAGTTGTTTTTGCATACACAACTAATAGCCACCCTCTACCTCTTATGAATCAACTGCTAAGTATCATTCCAACAAGAGCAAAAGATCGTGAAATCTTGGTGTGTTATTCCTGTTTATGTGCTGGAATATGCTGGGATATACACGTGGTCAACAACGTGTTCATCTTTCACTTGTTGCTATTTCTTGCTCTATACAATAGTATGTTTGAACTGGACATGCTATTTTATGGACAGTTATTATATCCAGTGGAAGGTGCCTTCTGTTAAGAAAGCATATTGCGATCATAGACTGGCTAATTGCTAGCCTCCTATTTCTTTGAAATAGATTATCATGATAATCTCAGTTTGCTTTGTAGTTTTTATAGCATAGCTTCTAAGAGCATCCATGTTTTGGTTATTATATTTAATATTTTGGCTCTTTACAGTCTTCCTGTTTCAAAAACTAGAATTAGTCATCATCCTAGTTTCTTGTTCTCCCCAACATTTTTTCTTGGGATGGCTTATGGTTACCCATAGTGGACTATGGACTGTGCGCCTCTTCCCATTGCTTACTTGTCTGCCTTGGTGTGTTCCAGGAATCGAATATTGTGTCTTTGGAGCAAAGACATTAGCCGTATATTGCCTCTTGCAGACTGTGGAGTCACTGGGACACCTTCCCAGGATGAATCACCTCGAGCTTCTTTAATAAGGCAAATTTATGGATTTCTTGATCAGAGTGTAAGTTATGATACTTTTGATTGTGTTCTTTCATGCACGTTCACAGCTGATGCCTCCCCATCAATAAATAAATAAATAAATAGATGTCTGGTCTTTTGGTTTCAGTTACATCATGTCTGTCATCTAAATGCTCATGTTGTGTTGACAGGGCTATATAAATGCTGGAATTGCTTCCGAGAAAGAGAGAGCAGAACCTAGTACCAATCACAATTATAAACTCGTTGAAAAAAAAACTTTTGAGGGAAATCCTGGAGCTTCAGTAACTGATTTGGAGGATGGGGTCTCCTTTATCCTTGGCCAGGTTAAAAGTTCTGAAAATTCCTTGGAGCCAAAAAATGGAGTTTCAGTGGATAATCAAGACCTGGCATCAAAAGCCTTGAAAAATGGGGAGCTTGTTATTCCATTGACACTAGATTTACCCAATGTCATGGAATATGAAGAATTACCAGCTGCTGGAATACAGCAAAATAGTTTGAGCAATTCAAAGTTACCTAATGGACTGGCCAGCTTGGATCCTTTGAGTACTGATCCATCTTGCACAATGCTGGATGGCAGAATGGCGGTCACTTCCCTAACTCCAGAGTTAAGGGATGACTCGCAGAGTGTTAAATCTAACTCTTGTGCCAATATAGGAGAAAGTCATAAATTGCTGTGTGATTCTGAAGACAGAAAGAAAATAATTGTCATTGGAGCTGGTCCTGCTGGCTTATCTGCTGCACGTCACTTGCAACGTCAGGGTTTTTCTGCCATTATACTTGAGGCTCGAAGTAGGATAGGTGGTCGTGTTTATACAGACCGTTCATCTCTTTCGGTCCCTGTAGATCTTGGGGCTAGTATTATAACTGGTGTTGAGGCTGATGTGACTACTGAAAGAAGACCAGACCCTTCCTCATTGATTTGTGCTCAGTTGGGCCTTGAGCTGACTCTGCTAAATAGTGATTGTCCTCTTTATGATGTTGTGACTAGAGAAAAAGTTCCTACAGATCTGGATGAAGAATTGGAATCTGAATACAACAGTCTTCTTGATGACATGGTATTGGTTATTGCTCAGAAAGGGCAGCATGCTATGACAATGTCTCTGGAGGATGGTTTAAACTACGCACTGAAGACTCGTCGCATGGCTCATCTTGGACCTGCTATTGATGAAAATGAATCAGGAATTGCAGTGGATACATTATATGATTCCAAAACTTGTAGTGTTGATGGCGGAGCTCATGAGAGGAGTTCTAAAGAGGAGATTCTGAGTCCCCTTGAGAGGAGGGTTATGGATTGGCATTTTGCTCATTTAGAGTATGGCTGTGCTGCTTCTCTCAAGGAAGTTTCTCTTCCTTACTGGAATCAAGATGATGTTTATGGAGGATTTGGAGGAGCTCATTGTATGATAAAGGGAGGTTACAGTAATGTTGTTGAGTCTCTTGGGGAAGGACTTCACATTCACTTGAACCATGTAGTCACAGATATTTCATATGGCGTTAAAGATGCAGGAGCAAATGAAAGTCATCGGAGTAAAGTCAAAGTCTGCACCTCGAATGGCAGTGAGTTTTTGGGAGATGCTGTGCTGATTACTGTCCCTCTTGGGTGCCTGAAAGCAGAAACCATCAAGTTTTCCCCTCCATTACCCCAATGGAAACGTTCTTCCATTCAGCGACTTGGTTTTGGAGTTCTTAATAAAGTGGTCCTTGAATTTCCAGTTGTTTTCTGGGATGATTCTGTGGATTACTTCGGTGCGACTGCTGAGGAAACTGACCAGAGGGGTCACTGTTTTATGTTTTGGAATGTCAAGAAGACCACTGGGGCTCCTGTTCTTATAGCCCTAGTAGTTGGCAAGGCAGCGATCGATGGCCAAAGAATGAGCTCATCTGATCATGTAAGTCATGCACTAATGGTTCTTCGTAAACTTTTTGGGGAGTCTTTGGTACCTGATCCAGTTGCATCAGTGGTGACTGATTGGGGTAGGGATCCTTTCAGCTACGGTGCTTATTCCTATGTTGCCATTGGATCATCTGGAGAAGACTATGATATATTAGGCAGGCCTGTTGAGAACTGTCTTTTTTTTGCGGGTGAAGCTACCTGCAAGGAGCATCCAGACACGGTTGGTGGTGCTATGATGAGTGGGCTCCGGGAGGCAGTGCGTATAATTGACATATTGAGCATGGGAACTGATTATACAGCAGAAGTAGAGGCAATGGAAGGGGCACAGAGACACTCAGAGGTTGAACGGGATGAAGTCAGAGACATAACAAAGAGACTCGAGGCAGTTGAGCTGTCCAATGTATTGTATAAGAATTCTCTGGATCGGGCCCGACTTTTAACCAGGGAAGCTTTACTAAGAGACATGTTCTTTAGTGCAAAAACCACTGCAGGGCGTTTGCATCTGGCCAAAAAGCTGCTGAATCTTCCTGTTGGAACTTTGAAGTCCTTTGCTGGGACCAGGAAAGGGCTCACTATGCTCAACTCGTGGATTCTGGTTGGTTTCATTTCACAGCTTGCTACCCTATTAGGAATCCAGAGTGTTAGGGTTTTACAAATTATTTCAAAATTCTCAAGCTGCTAGTGTCATTATTTCAAAATTATCAAGCTGTTAGTGTCATTTAATAATGGTCACATGCAGTTAAAAAGAACTCTAATCACATGGATTTATTCACTTTATGGCAGGATTCAATGGGGAAGGATGGGACTCAACTCTTGCGTCATTGTGTTCGTCTTCTTGTGCTTGTTTCAACTGATTTACTTGCCGTGCGTTTGTCAGGTATTGTTTCTGATTTGCGTGCAATGCAACTCGAGCATATCAGCTCGTTGAATATGAAGTGCTTTTCCTTTAGCAGATGCTTGATGGGCTTATAGAAAAGATCAGATGTCAGAAGTCTTGAATAGAAAGTATGCAATCATTGTTTAATTGTTGAAATTTTAATTTGTTCGAACAGGCATAGGGAAAACAGTGAAAGAAAAAGTTTGTGTGCACACAAGCCGTGATATACGCGCCATAGCTAGCCAGCTGGTTAGTGTGTGGCTTGAAGTCTTCCGCAGGGAAAAAGCTTCAAATGGCGGGGTTAAGTTTTCAAGGCATGCTACTTTATTGGATTCTTCAAAGAGAAAATCTTTAAGCAATTCAACCACAGGAAAACCACCATTGCGCACCCATCACAGTGCTTCGGAGACCAGAGGCAATTCGCAGGTTTCTGCACCAACCAGAGGCCCCTTGCCATCAAACCCAAACATGAAGAAAGCAAGCAGCAAGCCGGAAACTCTGAAAGACTCAAGCAGACTGGATACTGAGTTAGAAGAGGGTAACACTGCCATCTCTGAAGAAGAACAGGCTGCCTTAGCTGCAGCGGAGGCAGCTCGTGCTGCTGCTCGTGCAGCTGCCCAGGTTTGTTTCTTTTGTACCATCAAATGAATTGTGAGTCTCTCTAAAGTTTCCTCATTCCCATGAAATTGTGCAAATCAGTTTTGTTGTCGACCTAGAAAATCTTACACACATCCACTCCCTGGTCGTGATTTTAACAAAACAACCTTAACTTTTGTGGATTTTAGCCTAAAGTTTAGAAAATATTTTGTGGAATAACAACTGCATTTCTTTTCTTTTCTTTTGTCCCTTCCTCTGATATATGGATAGTGGATTGGTGTGTTTTAATTGTGTAATCCATAGTAAAAAATGACATATATATGTTCAAGGATACTGCTTTGCACCTTGATTGTACATAGACTAGCTTGTTCCTTTACTTTGTGGCTGCTTCTTTTCTTATCCTGTTGTGATTACCATTATGAAGAAATTAAGTGGTGGTAGCACATTGCACAGGCATATGCATCATCAGAAGCCAAGTGCAGCACATTGGTGCAGCTGCCTAAGATACCTTCATTTCACAAATTTGCAAGACGGGAACAAAACGCACAAATGGATGAATATGATCTTAGAAGAAAGTGGTCTGGTGGCTTTCTTGGAAAACAAGACTGTATATCAGAAATTGACTCTAGAAACTGCCGGGTTAGGGACTGGTCTGTTGATTTCTCCGCTGCCTGTGCCAACTTTGACAGTTCAAGAATGTCAGGTGACAACTTATCTCAGCGGAGCCATTCAAATGAGCTTGCTTGCCATATGAATTTGAGAGAGCAGTCTGGAGAAAGTTCAGCAGTTGACAGTAGCCTTTTTACAAAAGCATGGGTGGATACTACTGGTAGTGCGGGGATAAAGGACTATCATGCTATTGAGAGATGGCAATGCCAAGCAGCAGCAGCTGATTCAGATTTTTTCCATCGTGCTATGCGTATAAAAGATGAAGAGGATTCAAACACGAGTTCCAGACCACCCACCAGGAAGCATGATGGAAGAGCAAATGAGAGCTCTATCTCACAGGATACTATAAACAAGGAACCATCAAAACATCGTTCTCGAGGTCCTGATCGTATTAAACAGGCTGTTGTTGACTTTGTTTCATCATTGCTCATGCCTGTCTATAAGGCAAGGAAAATTGACAAGGAGGGATACAAATCAATAATGAAGAAAAGTGCTACCAAGGTTTGTACATTTTCCTTGAGCTTCTCCTCTATTTTATATTTTGTTCCAAATTAATCATTCCTGGGCTATAAATGTGTACGATTTGGTTATCCAGGATCTTTTAACTTGTCTTTCTGTCACTGTCTTACATGTATGTTAATTATCATCAGGTCATGGAGAAGGCTACAGACGCAGAAAAAGCCATGGCTGTCTCTGAGTTTCTTGATTTCAAGCGCAAGAATAAGGTGCATACTCTAATAGCATAATATTAGCATGAAGTGCAGCACTTATTTTGATTGTTCTTACATTGTATTACCTCTAAGAAACCTTGTCCGTGTTAGTATCATCTTGCCATGAGTGTGTTTTTCCTCTGATGATCTTGGTGTTATTTTCAATTTTTGTCATCTCTATGAAACTCAATAATATTTGGATGCTTTTAATATGCAGATCCGTGCCTTTGTGGACAAATTGATCGAGAACCACATGGCAATGAAACCAGCTGTTGAACCTTGATGGTCCCAGGATTGACTTGCCAGTTTTTGGGTGTGCTTCCGTGTGACATATACAGGAAGTCCATTCATTTCTGTTCCTTCGCAGTCCACAGTATAAGATGGTAGCCATGGAGTTCATGGCTTGGCACCTTTGTAAATGCTTGATTCGAAGTGCCAATATGCTATCAAAGATCTTGAAAGTGCCATGGAAAGGAGGGGACAGTTTGCCTGTTGAAACCACAAGGCCCCAGTGAAGATTGTTCGACATCTAGTATTGTTGCAAATGTCTTCAGGTTGCACTGAAGTGCCGCTCAAGAGGACCAAAGGAGCTTGACAATTGCTGTAGCTTTTATTATCTGGATCGTGAGCATCAGCATATTTTGAATCAGATTGCTTCTTGAAATTGGATTATCACGTCAATAATGTATTCTGAGACGTGGAGTTGATGCCCAGCTTTTTAATTTAGGGATTGGCATAGAGGAGACACTACTTATTCCTGACATTTTCTTGTTTTTTGTGTACAGTCTAGGATTGTTTCAGTCATGACAATTGACAAACATACAGAATATTTCTCTCTTACTCCAAGAAGTGCTCAAGTGCTTCACTGATTTTTCAAGTCAAACTGTTACTAATTTTTCTGTTCTCCAAAATTTTATTCAAGGAACAGTACTGCATTTACGGCAGCCTTTCTGGGCTCTGCTTTGTCTATTTGCCCTCTCTGTGGGTATGCATTTGCATTTGTTGATGTACATCAACATAGTATCAATGCGCGTGGAGTTTAACTTCCATTACCTTAAATCCCAGCTTGATACATGAAACAGTGCAAGGCGATATTTGTATACATGGCATTTGAAAATCAAAACAGTGAGGTCTTTGTTTATGTGAGTGGTCGACACAGCACATGTGGAGTTTTCAAATTTGTTTAATTGCAATGTTTGCACTGTGTGTAGGCTTTGTCACATTTTCTGTACCGCAAAGTGACGAGTCTAATTAATCCTTGCTTGTCTTTTGGTTGTTATCTTACCGCTTAAATTTTCTGCTGTTGCCAGGTTGGGAAATATACAGCGAAAGTCTTGCTGATGCCAGGTATGCCCTTTTCTTGTACGAGTCATTCAATTTCTCTTAATAATCTTAGGTGACTCGATGCACTGCAACATGGCAGTCTGGTGTGCTAAATATCAGTGGCCTGGAGCTAATAAAGCTGTGGTTCATGTCCAGAAAGCAAGTTGCTTTGAGTTTATGTAAGCAGTAATGAGAAAATCCTGCCCCTGGTTAGCCGAAAGAATATGATAATGCTTTAAGCTTTGATCGTCTCTATCATGATTTGCTGTTCAGTTTGGCACTTAAACGTATGTCACTGATAGTTGCCAGGCATTTTATTTGCACTTTGTCCTCTTATAATCACTGATCGATTTCAGAATTAGGGAGGGAACAGAAGTTCCCTGATGACATTGAGTGTCATTCAGTGACACATTTGTTTTCTTTCATTCTGATCTCTTTATGGAAAGAAGAGGGTTTTTTGCATTACAATTTTCCTGGTTCCTCTGTAGTAATGTTTCACGACATTTTTTGACGGGTGACCGACTTGCGGTTCCTTTATGGACCTGAAACGACCTTGCAAGTTTCAGCTTAAATTGAAAGTACTTAGTGGTGGCTGGCCAATGCTTGTGCTGTCATTTTTTGCCCATTCATGAATCACTGACTCAATTGCGATTCATCCTAGATTTGTTTCCATTGGCGAACGTTTTCATTCTGGATGTATTGTATCATGAAAGAATAATACATTGGTAAGTCTTTGATATGCTCAGAAACTCAGACATGCTCGTCTTCGTCAAATGTCACTTCGGCATGTTTGTTTTTGTATCCTGTCCTTGATATGCTTAGGATTTGTTTGTCGGAAAAACTATAGTTTGAGAATGACATTCACCATGGGAGTTTCAAAACTTTGCTTGTTTATGTGAAGTCCTGGGATAGTGTTGGATATGCGGGTTGACTACTAGTAGGCTACGGTCAGGTAGCATAACCGACCGTACTGTGCATCATATTTGCAATTTACTAGTTTAAATTTATCACTTTATGACAGGTGGATTATGGGTCCTAATACTAGTAAACATGGTTTTGAAATTTGACCTGACATACACCCAGCTGAGGCTTGTATCATGAATTGTGCGGGTCAATCTTAGTTAGATAGGGCTAATGCAAAGCCGTGTGGTTTCAATATATTTTTTAAATAGTTAAAATGATATTGTTTTAGAATTATTTTTGTAAAAGTTAAAACTGGCTTTTATCTTGGTATTGATTTGATTAATTTAAAAATCTCATCTTGACTTAGAAAGCGTTTAGAAACGTGATTGTATCTGTGTTTTTAAAAAAGTTAATTATTTTGTATATTTTGAATTATTTTAATATGTTAATTTCAATAATAATTTTTAAAAAATAAAAAAAAAATTATTTTAATATATCTTGATGTAAAAGATATTTTAAAAAACAATTATGATTATATTTTTAAAGTATTGTTTAAAAATCCAATCTTGATTTGACATCAATGGCTGGTTTCATGGTGTTGGGTGACTCAGGTTTTGTAACAATGTTGTTTGGTGTGACATTGCAAATCTTGTATAAAATTAGTAACTTGTCAAATATGGTTTCTAAATTTGATTAAAGTTTTTAAGGTTTTTATCTTTACCATGCTGATTCTATTTCATTTTTTTAATTTTCAAAAACTAGTTTTAAGTAAAAAAAAAAAGAAGTCCAAATATAAATCAATTTTTCTCTCAAATTGTTTATGAAATAAAACGTTCCATGACTCAAAAGTTAGAATAACATGACTTTTTATAATGATAGAATATTTTTATAATTTAACATGTCAATTTACGCTGGACTTTTTATATCTTAAGGGAAAAAAAATTAAATATTTTTTATTAGAATTTTTTTTTAATTTAAATTAAAAATGAATATATTTCTTTAATCCAAGTTAAAATTTCCCCTTTTTTTTTTCACAAGTAAAATAGCATTGATTTTAATTTTTAATTTATACCAACCTAATTTCGGCCCTGCAGCCCAGTTTTCTTTTCTATTTCTCTACCCAGGCTGGCTTAAGAGTCCAATGACTTCCTTGGGTCTAAAAATCTGTTAATCGCGAAGCATCGTCAAGAAGCTCTCTCTCTCTGGATTCTTTTTTTTTTTAAAAAAAAAAACACAAAAGAGCTCTCATATTCAATCATCATCTCCGATCTCGTCAAAATCCAATAACAAAATGGCTTCGACATTCAGTGGCGATGAAACCGCTCCGTTCTTCGGATTCCTCGGCGCCGCTGCCGCCCTTGTTTTCTCCTGTAATCCAATGATTATAATCTCATTTTATTTTGAAATCAAATTCTAATTCCCAATGTCCGTTTTGATCTCGATCTACGAGTATTAAGACTCTAATTGTTTTTTTATTGACGAGGGCGTGGGTCTGGTGTTTTGATTGGGTGGTTGTACAGGCATGGGAGCTGCGTACGGTACCGCGAAGAGTGGAGTTGGCGTTGCATCGATGGGTGTGATGCGACCAGAACTCGTGATGAAATCCATAGTTCCGGTTGTTATGGCTGGAGTTTTGGGTATATACGGTCTGATCATTGCTGTGATCATCAGTACCGGTATTAACCCTAAAGCAAAATCCTATTATCTTTTTGATGGATATGCTCATCTCTCTTCTGGCCTTGCTTGTGGCCTCGCTGGTCTCTCTGCTGGTATGGCGATTGGTATCGTTGGTGATGCTGGTGTTAGGTAAATCTCTTGACTGCCTTGATATCTGATTACAATAGCTAATTGTTTTTGCCTGCATGGTAATTGACTTCATTTAATTGAATAGTAGAAATTGAATGAGAGCGTGCGGCATAGAAAAATGTAGATGTTACTGGTTTTTTATCGTCAATGTACGAGTTTTCTTGTTTATGTAAGCCTAAAAGAATGTTTTGGCTGCATTGGTATTTGAGGAGACTAGGCACTTAATTACGTGCAAGTTAAGCTGTCTTCAATTGTTTGTGTTCTACTTTAGGAGCAGTATTTGAAGCTGCGATATGATATGATATGAAATACTGGATGTAGCTGCTTTATGTTTTTGTGTTCAATATTTGTTTTGCTCGAGTTCTGTGATATGGCCACGAGCTTGATTTAGCTTGTTTGAATGGACTGGAATAGTTTCTCAAGCTTGATTCAGTTGTGAATTGAGCTCTGAAACCTTGTTTGATTTTAGTTTATAAGCTTCTCCATTGAGTGTTTGAGATTCGCTCAGCAGTAACCATGCTCATAGGAGTTGATTGAGCAGGGGGGGCTTTAACTTGAGCTCAACCCTGACTTTGAATTTAGTTTCAATCAAATTAATCAAATGTTCTCAAAGGGAATTCAAAGTAAATTTTAATCAGCTTTAAGTTTCTGTAAACAGAAGCGTTGGCTTTTTTATGTAAACATAACAAGTAGAGACCATGAAAATTAATGATTGGAGGAACTCCAGATATTGTCACATAGGAAAAGCCATCCAAAAAAAAATTAGATACAAGATGCAGTCACTAAAATAAACGCAAGTCGCTTAGAATTCTTGTTAGCAAAAATATTTAAGGTTGTGTTCTACAAATGGTTTCTTGTTGGTCTGCATTTGTGAAGATATTTGAAAATATAAGCTTAGATGTATGGAGTTTGCTGTTGGGTCCTGGTGTTTAGAGCCTAGTGAGAAGCACGTATTTGATTATAATAATTTTATCTTCACCCAGTTGGTGTAGATAACTCATAGTGTCTGCGCTGCTTGGTTGGGTCAAATAATGAAGTTTGCAGTATACTTTATACCTTTTAATTGATGTGGGGCACATTGATTAGCCTTCCATTTTCAAGGTTGATACATGCTATACAGATGGTCAATTTTTTTTTTGGATGATTTTTCCCAATGAGTTATTGGTTTTCAGTTTTTTGTTGAAAGTTCCACTTTAATGTTGGCTTGTATTTTGCAGAGCTAATGCCCAGCAGCCAAAGCTTTTCGTTGGGATGATCCTCATTCTCATCTTTGCTGAAGCACTTGCCCTCTACGGTCTCATTGTTGGTATCATTCTTTCCTCCCGAGCTGGTCAATCGAGAGCTGAGTAAAGAGTCCCTCTACTTGGTGTTTGGATGGCCGTTGTTATCTATGTATGTTATTGGAGCTGAATTGTTTTGTGCTGAAAAATTCTTGTAAGAGTTGTGTTTTTTTACCAAATGATCTCATTAAGTGCCATTCTTGTATCATAAAATGCAGAAATAGTTATAAGCTAGCAAGGATAGCCAGATTATTTTTTGCCAAGGTTCCTTGATTCTGCACTTTCCCGCTCTGTGGGGAAAGAACCTGATTGACCTTGCCATCCATCAATGGATGTCGCAATTGCTGATGTGTACACTGAATAGAATGATAACGAGGGGGCGGCGGCGGGGGCCATGCTCGTTCTTAAAGCCACTTATTTTGTAATTTCTTAAACAAGTTACATGAATAGGCCCCTCCTAAAAGTTGAAATTAGATTTTATCCCCTACATGGCAATTCACTTTTTTTATAGGAGTTGCTTACCAGTATCAAATGACAGCTTGGAGCGATGTAGCCTTTAATTTAATTTAATACGAACGATAATTTGAATTCAGTTTTTGCTAACCAGACCAGAGTTTTAGTTCCTTCGAATATTCAAATGACGAGGGAAACAGAGAAATTGAATGGAAATTTTCTCTCTTTTTTACACCACATAATTGACCTTATTGAAATCAGCAGCGTGGATTCTAAATGTGATAGCTAAACATCCTCGTAAATCTTTATAGATAACATTAACTGGTATCGGACTCTTTTTTGTACTCCCTAATCCCATATTAGGTGTCCTGTATTTCATTTTTAGCAATTTTAATTTAAGTCTATTCTAAGAGTTAAAAGTATAATTATAATATTTTCTTTCTTTTTGTTTAAATTTACCTAAAATTAACATTTAACTAGGTAAATACAGTTAGGTATAAAAGTGAAATAACATGTTTAAAACCATTACTTTTAATCAATTCTTTTATTTCTAAAAATTTGTGCAAAAATCATCCGTAAATTATTTATGGATTGAGGCAGCATCAAAACGAATATTATCGCTACCAAAACCAGTCAAAAACTTGAGCGCTGGCCTAACATGTTATTGAGAAATTTGCACTTAAAATAACGTAGACCCACATATTCCATTGCGTCATGGCTAACGCAACTAGCAAATATCTCCGTGCGTATAACAAAGGATCATGATCAAATGCTACCAAGACCACTTATTGTAAATGTTAATCACCAATCATAATTCTCCAAATCATTGGGGTAGTGCTCACGTGACTTTGTAATTGGACGTTTCTTCCACGCGCTTTGTTTCCCAGGCTTTTTGTAAGTACCTTATTAAACACAACTAGTCATCTTCCTTTTTGGACTGGAAGTGGAATCAGCAACAAAACCTCTCCTCTTGAAATCTCTAATGACTTCTCAACCTTCCAGGCAGGGCAGTCTCGTAAAGGAGTCAAACCCCATTAACATTGCGTGGCGCACAATTTACCAGGCAGTCACCGTTATCTATAAATAACTCCGTATTTGTAATCACGAATTTGAAGAACCATTTTTGGTCCTCTGATTTGCTTGATTATTTCCAGATTATTTTTATGAACCTGTTTCGCTCACGTGTATCAACCTCAGTCGTATCTAGAATGGCCGGAGAGCTAGGATCCTCTGCTTCCGTTCCCACCACATCATCATCATCATCATCATGGGCAAAAACAAGATCTTTGTGGCCTTCTATTCTCCGTTGGATCCCCACTTCCGTCGATCACATCATCGCCGCCGAAAAACGCCTTCTCTCTCTAGTCAAGTAAGCAATCCCCCATTCCTTCTCTGTTTCGTCGTAGTCGAGCGAAGCGAAACCCTAATTTATGTGTAACATGGGAATTATAGGACTTCGTATGTGGTAGAGCAAGTGAATATTGGTTCGGGTCCACCGGGGTCGAAAGTACGATGGTTTCGATCTACGAGTGATGAGCCTAGGTTTATTAATACGGCGACGTTTCAAGGTAAAGAGGATTCTCCTACGCTTGTAATGGTCCATGGATATGCTGCTTCTCAAGGTTTCTTCTTCAGAAATTTTGACGCTCTTGCTAGTCGTTTTAAGGTCATAGCCATTGATCAGCTTGGGTAATTAAGCTTGTATTATCTCTTAGTTAACATTAATCGTTTTCTTCTTTAACTCCCCTGCTCTCTGCTAACTCACCGGTTAATTGTGTGCACAGTTGGGGTGGATCTAGTAGACCTGACTTTACCTGCAAAAGCACTGAAGGTTAGTTAATTTTACATTTCTTCAGAGGATTTTATGTGTTAAGTACTTTGGAAAATGCTTTGTGTGCTTGGAAACGAATCATGTAATGTTAAGTTTGGTAATGTAGAAACTGAGGCGTGGTTCATTGATTCCTTTGAGGAATGGCGAAAAGCAAAGAACCTTAGTGGCTTTATATTACTCGGGCATTCTTTTGGCGGGTACGTTGCGTCTAAATATGCACTCAAGGTGATTTGCTTTGGCTTTGTTGTTGGCATTTTGAGGATCGTGTGATTGCATTTTCTTCTTTTCTGATGATTGTCTGTGTATCTTTGTTATAGCATCCTGAGCATGTTCAGCACTTGATTTTAGTGGGACCTGCTGGATTTTCGTCAGAAGCGGAATCTAAGCCTGAGTGGCTCACAAAATTGAGGGCAACTTGGAAAGGAGCTGTTTTTAATCATCTGTGGGAATCTAATTTTACTCCTCAGAAGGTTGTTAGGTATGTGTCCTTTCCCCTAGTCTGAGTGTCCTTGAACATTTCTTTAAAACAATCATTTTAGATTGCCATGTATAATCGTACATGTGCTTAGCCTTCATTAAGTTATTCTTCCCCATATACTTGGTCTGTGGCAGTATCAGCTAACGCATGAGCCAAAAACTGGGAGTGAGTTCAATATTTTGTTTTGTTGTGGTTAAATAGTTTTGGTTTGAGGTCTTTAGATGCTTAGAACCAAAAAGATTCTCAATAAATGCCTTAAATAGGATTTTATTATGAGGTGTACTAGCTTCTGTAGAGAAAGGTCTTTTTCCCCTCCTCTAGCTCCTTTTGTTACTATATTCCATCTCCATTCACCCATGGAGCACTTTATTCATGGTACCAGTATAATTGACGCATCAAGTTTCCTTTACCTCTCTGTTTCTGACAGTCCTGATCAATCCTTTTATCCAGAGGTTTAGGTCCTTGGGGTCCAGATCTCGTAAACCGCTACACAACTGCTAGATTTGGTGCGTATTCGGCTGGAGAAGTTTTGAATGAGGAGGAGTCCAAATTGCTATCAGGTAGTGAGGGATACCATCTTTTGGCATTGTGCTCTCATTAGTAGGTATCTGATGCTTGCTCTTTTAACTGCAGATTATGTGTATCATACTTTAGCTGCCAAAGCTAGTGGAGAGCTGTGCTTGAAATATATTTTTTCATTTGGAGCATTTGCTCGGATGCCCCTTCTACAAAGGTCTGATAACCCCCCTTGTTTTTATATTAATTTGTTGCTCCAGAGTGTCAAAATACCTTCCTTCTGTGAATTGAGGTTGACAGCATTGCGGTGGCCAATTATTTTCTGCTCATATGTGAAATTAGAACCTATTGCTGCATCTGTGTTCATGGTTGAAAAAATGGTCTCTCGTGTGTGTCATGGGTGTTTTAGGTGCATGTAGGGTTTTATGCTGTTGCAAGCATCTGTTCTGTTATTTAGGTTATTTGGTCTAGGAACTATAAAGGCCTAGGAAGCTTGGCACAGAATTTCAGATCAATTGCGTGTGTAGGGTGGAGAAATGAGCTTCTTACAAAAGCCCGTTCTGCTGAGACCATTTCGTCTGTGAAATGGCATGCATCCTTTTTTGGTTGACCAAAAGGATGTTGGAACACCCGGACGTGGTGAAGAAAGAGCAACGAGTTAGAGGGTGCCAATGGGTTTTATTCAGAAACTTCGTGTCTTCCTCTTTTCAAATGAAATATGAGTATCTTCTAAAATGAATCTAGAACTTAGTTTTGAATATTAGCTAGCAGCCTAGGGAGATCACTATTCTGCCTATTTTCCAGCGCTAAACATCCTCTGATTTAGGACGATCATCATCTCATCTTAGATGAGCTTTGGATGGTTACCATGAATGATGCATGGGATGCCTGCTTTGCGAAATAGGATGCTTGTATTTTCTCTTTTAACTTGAATGAAGTACAAAATAAAGTCCCACTGAAGAAGTTACCAGACACACCCATTTTTCATGTGCAGTGCATCAGAATGGAAAGTGCCAACCACTTTCATATATGGCTTTGAAGATTGGATGAACTATCAAGGTGCCCAAGAAGCTCGCCAGCATATGAAGGTCCCATGTGAAATCATTCGGGTCCCACAGGTCTCAATTTTTCTCAATTAGTATGATGGAAAAAAAAACTGTAGTAAAAATTGGATTCAGTGCTGATTGGATTTTTAATTTTTTTGCCAAACAACAGGGTGGGCACTTTGTATTTATAGACAATCCAACAGGGTTCCATTCAGCTATGTTCTATGCTTGTCGGAGGTATATTTCACCTAAACCAGAAAATGAACGTCTCCCTGAAGGTCTCACGTTTGCTTAGCAAATTATCACTGTGATTTTTCAGTCATCTGTGTATAATAATAATTCATACGGGAAGGTTTCGTGGCTCCCTCACAAATTCATATTAGCATCTCACAAAAAAATATTCTATTCTGTTCGTGTATATCTGATGTACTCTTGTACGAGAGTTGCATTGCATGCGGCTTTATATATTGAATAGCAGTACTTTCGGCGATTATGAGCTGAGGTAGTTGAAACTGAAAAAAAGAGTGGGGGAAAAGCAATCACTCTAAGAAACAGTCATTTCATATCAGAAATAGAATGTACTAGTTATATTGCTGTGTATTGGATAAAAAATTTTAGTAAAAAATAAAATATAAATATGGAACTTTTAAAAATTTATTTTTATAAAAAAATTATAAATTAAAAAGTTTATGAGAACTATTTGTGTTGATAAATGTAAAATATAAAATGCTAACAAGTAAGTTGAATAATTTTTTTAATACAAAAAAATTAGTGTATATGTATTATTAATATGTTTTTTATATCATTTAAAAAAATATCATTGTAAATTAAAAGGTCAATTTTTATATATATAATGAAGATTATATGTAAGATTTCAAACTAAAAAAAATAAAATAATGTCATAATTATTATAATAAAAAATTATTTTCTTCTAGAATAAATTTTCAAAAACAAAACGTGCAAATAAAAAAATAAAAATTAAATTACAAAAGAATAAAAAAATGGTATAAAGTATATAGAATAAATAATAATTTTTTTTAAAAAAAAAGGCACAAAGATTAAAAATAAAAAAAAATACTAATATTATGAATTTGGCATGCAAGTTACAATTGTATTTTTTTAAAAAAAAAAAACAGAATGTAGTCTATCCAAATATTTTTTTTTTACATGAAAATTTAGAAGTGTGATTTGAAAAGTCCATACAATTATTTAACTACATAAATTAATAATTATTTATGTAAATACAAAAAAAAAAATTATTAACAATAACCATGAGAGAAAATGTGTATATATGAGATATTTACTCGATTATATTTATTAAATTTTTTTATTTAAATAAATAAAAGATAAATCCACTCTAAAAAACTATGGCTTAAATAATAAATAAAAAAAATGAATAAACCCAAACCATAAAACAATATTACACAAGGTCAGATATATCAAAAAAAAAAAAGGAATGGATACTTGTCGATATGATGGAAACACACACACACACACACATATATAATCATCACGTGAACCCGATAGTTAATCTGATGAACAAATTAAACATATGACCTAGAATATAAAATTAGGATGACCTCATATATAACAAAGCAAAAAAAATACTGATAGAAAAATATTTTAAAAAATACTTTAAAAAAGGATCAAAGTCAACTTGAGTGAATTTATCAGATATATAATCCGGGTTTTGAGACCAAAATAATTCATTAAAAATAAATATGAAAAAATAACGAAGTAAGATTTTTGACCAAATAAATATTGAGAAGTGAAATTAATGGGAAAAGGTCAATAAAAAAATACAAAATAAAATAAATAATAATCAAAAGAATTTGGTCTAAATTCAACATAAAACCAATTGAATTAAATTTAAAAGAAAAATTTAAATGAAATAAATGTTTAAGGATGGAATTGAAAAAACAAATCAATTAAGAAAATTATTTAAAAAATAACAATTAAAATAATTGACATTGAATTTGACATAAAAATTCAGTAAAAAATAATTCTAAAGGATGGAATTGAAGAAAAAATCAATAAAATAATTGAAAAAAATAGAAATTAAAATGACAAGAACCAGATTTGATAAAAAAAGCTAATAAAAAAAACTAATAAAATCAAACTATCTTGAACAAAATTGAAAATAAAATCCATTTATAAACAATCAATGTAAATAAAATAATTGCAATTAAGAGAAGAAGGACGAGATTAAAAGGAAAAATAAATTGAAGGTTTAGCATAATTTCTTGCCAAACCAACACACAGTTCGATGAAGAAAAGAAAGGAAAAAAAAAAGTTAATTAGTGTCAAACCAGACTTCACTATTATGTACGAGCCATCAAGGGAGTAAGAAAATGTAGAAACACATCAAATAATGTCATTAAAGCTTGATTTTAACAACTATTATCAATCGCAAGCGCCATTTGAAGGTTGCTGATGTGTGCTTAGCATGCATCAATAATTTTTTTTACGTGCACAAAACCAAAAATGCTCGTATAACTAAATAATAATAACAAAAAAAAAATCCTATGAGAAAAAGACAATCAAGCCCTTAAAACCAATACTAAAGAAATCGAATGACAAGGGTAATAAAATAATCTAATTGTTCATAAAATTATAAAAAAATAAAAATGCTACCAAAACTAAATAACAATTAAAAAAAATAAGGAAACACCAATCAAGCATTTGAAGCGAAGGTTAACAGATTTGCATATGTTATGTAATTCAATGAAAAAATTGAAATTACTATACTGTCCTAGACTAAATATCTAGTTGTTTCCTCTTTAAAGGCAACATTGTAATTGCACTATCATTAAAAAACAAAAAGATGGAGTCATTCCAAACAAATTGGTTGTGTGCAAAGACCATAAGACCTCTAGAGTAAAGCTTTAAAAAGTAAAAAATAAAATGTAAAAGAATAATTTTGCTGTAGCCTTAAACATATTTTGCTGTAGCTGATCTGCAATGAAAAACACGCGCAATTTAGTATTTTTATTTTTATTTTTTATTTTTAGTATTTTACTTAATTGGATAGGTGCGGGGGCTTTGGGCGTATTGAAATCTGCTGCGTGTACGAGCGGGGAGCCGAATGAATGAGGTGGCTTATTAAACAGCGCCTTAAAGTCGCATGTTGTTGCAAAAAACGAAACGAAAGATCTAGGGAAATGTGTGCAAGTTTATAATGCAGTCACAATTAATAAATTCTGTATCAACGTTTATATTTTCCAGATCCCCACCCCCCCCAAAAAAAAATTAAATAAAATAAAAAATAAATAAATAAAATCCTAGCTAGCGCCTAAAGAGTGAACCCCTGTCGATCGTTTATGTCACCACTTAGAAACAAAAATGTCACCTTCCTAGAGAATCAAGGGCCCGCGGTCTTAATTTCACTTGAGAGAACCGCACTGTAATAAGAATGAAGTCGAATTTTCTCGAGAGGTCCATTATCAAGTGTCAGAACCTTTTTTACTGCTCCAACTTTGCTACGGAGTAAAGCAAGACCAAAAATCTCACCTCTCTGTTAAACCATAGCCCGGTATAGTAAAACCGGAGCAGGCATTATTGTACAGAACGCAGTAAAATTTGGAGATGAAAAGAAGGGATGATAATTTTTTTTGAAGTACAATTTGACAATGACAAGTCCTCCAGTTAAACACAGATGCTTTTGTCCTCCGATGTCTTGACCCTGTTGATGGATAGTGGGGATCGGGTTCTCTCTGAAACCCGTCAGAAGATTCCTTGTCATACTCTGTGAAAGTATTTGTTTTAAAAGATTTTTTTATATAAATATATTAAGATATTTTTTTTACAAAAAAAAATTTATTTTTGATATTAATGTATTAAAATAATAAAAAATTAATTTAAAAAAATCATTTTTTTACAAAAACACCACCAGCACATAGACAGGGCTCATAGTGTATTTCTGCACATCCATAATTAAAACCTGAAGATGAAGTGGTTGGGACCCTATAGCCAAAACCATTCAACTTTCGTGCCACAACAATCGACATGACAGGACTTGGGGCCATCGATCCTGCGAGGATTCTTAACCTTTGCACGTTTAATCCAATCGAAATCCTCTACTTCAAATTTGATCAAATCAGCTCCTCCAATTCCAATTAAAAAGAAATTTAAAGTTTTATTTCCAGTCTCATCATAGTGATTGGAATTAATATGGGTGTTTAAATATAAATTAATTCAGATAAAGGGGCCAATATCGCCCTTAAATGGTAGCAAGAAGGCCAGTATGACTATATTTTGTAGTAGTAGAACTCGTATGAAAATGTATAAGAAGTTGAAGGACCATGTTTGAATTTAAGCACTTGGAGTCAGTCAGGGGGCCACGTGCTGGTCAAAACTTTAAAATCCAACGTGGCAACGGCTTCAATATCCGACTGGCTAATTATCATGCCTTTTTAAAAATCCTGGCAGAGAGACACTTTCACGGATCCTGACGCCTTCCATTTCCTGTTTCCGATAAAGACACCTGGGTGTTACCGGTCTCATCAACGGCTACTTTTCCCTTAGCCCTATGTTCGCCACGTGTCATATAGGGTTCTGGCGGGAATCAGGGTTTTGGGTCCTCCTACATGGAGGAATCACGGGGATAGATCATCTGAGTTTTTGACCATTAAATAGAATAGAATTAAAGACTTTTAGATGTTTTTCTAATTTGACCATTAAATAGAATAGAATAGAATAGAATCACGGGAATAGATCATCTGAGTTTTTCTGATCAACTGTAAAATAATATGAGGTTTATTTAAAAGATAAAAATAAATTTAAATATTTAAAATTAACTAGATTAAATTATTTTATTTTAACTATATCATAGCTGAATTATATGGATTTTAATTGAATTGTTTAGTAGATCTATTTACTAAAAACATATAATGATTTGATTATTACTTTTTTATTATATTCTTTATAATATTTATATGTTTTTATAAAAATAATTCATTTCTTAGTTTTTTAAAAATGTTTAATTCTTTTTAAACAAATTTTCAATTTAAGCTATATTTTTAAATTTAATTTTATTATCTTATTAACAGTATACCGAGGCAATTGATTATTAAATAATCTTACATATATATATATATATATATATATATATATATATATATTAAGATACCACACAACACAACAAACGGTGGATACTTGATAGGTCACACGTACTCTTAGAGTTGGTCAAAGTCATGCAAATTGGAGGAAATCAAGGAACAATAAATACTGTGAAAGAATAAATAAAGACACCCTCTTGGACTGACGGTGATAAATTGAATTACATCACACTAATTAAATAAAATGAAAATAAAATAAAATCAAGAATGACTTCTTTCTGGAAGTAAAATAAAAAGGGAAGATAAAATGTTTCTTCAAATTGGAGAAGGTAGTGAAGATGGAATATCTGCTCCAACCCTACAACCTTCAAGCATGAAAACAATATCAGCCATTGATGGTCTATCAAGTGGATCAGGTGCTGTGCAAAGAAGG